CCCCCCCCCCCCCCCCCCCCCCCCCCCCGCTCCGTGGCACGGCTGGGCTGAGCCGTCCCCGTTTTTGGGGGGATCCGCGTGGCCTCTCAGCCTCTTCCGTGCGCCCCCCAAAGCACAGCGAGCCCCCCCCTGCCCCCTGCCCTGCCCTCGGGGGGCTCCGGTGCCACCCCCGGGCCGCCCCGCGGTGTCCGGCGGGTGGGCAGCGGCGGCTGCGGGGGCCGGGGGCTCCTGCTGGCCCCGCCAGCTGCTCCCCAGCCTGGGACATATGGCCAGGGCTTGGAACCGCCGCCACCGCCGCGGATTTTTGGGGCCGGAGCGGGGGGGGCTGCCGGGGGTCTGACGCACTCGGTGCCCCCGGCCAGCCCCGGTGGCGACCGGCGGGGAGCCCCCGTCACCCCGCCCGGGGTCACCTCGCGGTCCCCAACAGCCCCGAGCGTCCACAACCCCTCAAGGGTGGGGGGGGGGGGCTCCAGCCTGGCTCCCCCCCACCCCAAAATTCCTGCCCCACCCTGCGGTGATGCCCGGGCAGGAATTAGCGGGCGGGGAATAAATAAATCACCCGCGGGGAGCCCTTCGGGCCGCTCGCCTCTATTTATAGCCGCGCCCTCCCCTCCTCTGCAGTTGCTCCGAGGCAGCGCCGCTGCTCCGGGCCACGGGGGGAGCCCAGCGTGGTCCCGTTGTCACCCCGTTGTCACCCCGTTGTCACCCCGGGTGCTGCAGCCCGGCCATGGGGTGTCCCCAGCCGTGTCCCCGCTCCGGGAGGCGCTGTCGCGGCCGGTGTCGCCCTCAGGACCCCTTTGGTGTCCCCATCAGCAGCGTGGTGGCACATCCCCAGCTGTCCCCATCGTCGGGGGGCTGGCAGTGCCACCCCACGCGCTGCCAGCCGTGGGTGTCCCGCTGCCGCCGTGTCACATCCCGCTGCGGGGACACCGCGGCCAGTGGCTCAAGGACACAGCGGTGACCGCGGACCTGCCGTGTCCCCATCGCTGCCCCTGTGGGGACAGGCGGGACCTCCCTGCGCATCCCCACCTTGGGGACAAGGACAGGGGACAGGGGACACGCGGCCTGCCCGGGGTGAGGAAGATGAGGGAGAGCTCGGGGATCCATGGGGCGGGGGGAAGATGGAACCGGGCCCTTTTCCGCCGCCATCCAGAGGAGCGAAGCCACCACGGAGCGGAGCTCCATGAAATATTTACTGTCCCCAACCCCGGGGTGGCCTCACCCAGCCCCATTTGAGGTGACGAAAACTTTTTCCGGGCTGTGGGGCCTGCCACAGCCTCAGGGGAGGGGAGGAAAACATTTCCCCTCCATCCCTGCCCGCTGCGGCTTTCTTCCCTCCCCAGCCGAATATTAAAAAGAAATCGGAGCCCATTTTCCTGCGATAAATTTGGCAGAATGGAGAGAAAATGATCCGGCTCTGGAGGGGAGCCAGGGCTCCGGCTGCACACCGGGAGCAGCTGGGCGCTGGAGCCCGGCCACGCTCCGCAGCTCCCGGGGGAACCGGGAACGGCTCAGCCCCGGCTCTGCGGGCCGGCACCGGGGGTCCCGAGGTGCCGCAGCCCCCCCAGGGGACCGCGGGGTGCCGGTGACAACCGCAGCTGTCCCCGTGCTGGTGGCCGGAGCCATCCCGCGGTGCTGGAGGCCCCGAATCCCGGCGGGTGCCGCAGGGATGGGGGGGATGCGGAGCCCCCCGGGGTGTGCCGTGAGGAGATGGGGGTTTTGTGGGGTCTGGGGGGGTCGCGGGGTGTTGTGAGAGGGTGGGGGGCTGTGGGGCGGTGGGGTTGGGGCAGTAGGGCTGCTCGTGCTGTGGGGTTTTGTGTGACGCAGCCCCCCGTGCTGTGGGGTTTTTGAGCCCCCCGTACAGTGGGGTTTTTGTGTGACACAGCTTCTCCTGCAATGGGGTTTTTGAGCCCCCCGTGCAATGGGGTTTTTGGACGGTGCAGCCCCCGTGCTGTGGGGTTTTTGTGTGACACAGCTCCTCCTGCAATGGGGTTTTTGGATGGTGCAGCCCCCGTGCAATGGGGTTTTAGTGTGACATAACCCCCCGTGCAATGGGGTTTTTGAGCCCCCCGAGCAATGGGGTTTTAGTGTGACACAGCTCCTCCTGCAATGGGGTTTTTGTGTATGCAGCCCCTGTGCAATGGGGTTTTTGAGCCCCCCATTCAGTGGGGTTTTTGTGTGACACAGCTCCTCCTGCAATGGGGTTTTTGGATGGTGCAGCCCCCGTGCAATGGGGTTTTTGAGCCCCCCGTGCAGTGGGGTTTTTCTGTGATGCAGCCCCCGTGCAGTGGGGTTTTTGTGTGACACAGCTTCTCATGCAGTGGGGTTTTTGGACAGTGCAGCCCCCATGGAATGGGGTTTTTGTGTGATATAACCCCTTGTGCAATGGGGTTTTTGGATGGTTCAGCCCCTCCTTCAATGGGGTTTTAGTGTCATGTAACCCCCCGTGCAATGGGGGTTTTTGTGTGAGGTAACCCCCGTTCAAAGGGGATTTTGTGTGATGTAACCCCACTGCAATGGGGTTTTTGGATGGTGCAGCCCCCGTGTAATGGGGTTTTTGTGTGATATAACCCCTCGTGCAATGGGGTTTTTGGATGGTGCAGCCCCTCCTTCAGTGGGGTCGTTGGTGCAATAGGGCCCCTCGTGCTGTGGGGTTTTAGTGTCACAGCCCCCCATTCAATGGTGTTTCAGTGTCACAGCCCCCCGTGCTGTGGGGTTTTAGTGTCACAGCCCCCCATTCAATGGGGTTTTAGTGTCACAGCCCCCCGTGCTGTGGGATTTTTCATGGGGTGCAGCCCCTAGCGCAATGGGGTCGTGGCTGGTGCGGCCCCTCTGAACAGGGACATTGGTGTGACAGTCCCTGTGACCAAGGGGACACTGGTGTCACACCCCCTGTGACCAAGGTGACACTGCTTTGACACTGCCCCTCGCACCGAGGGGACACTGCTGTGACAGTCCCTGTGACCAAGGGGACACCGCTGTGACAGCCGCTCGTGCCGTGGTGTCCCCCGTGTGCCACATCCCCACCGGCACAGGGGACACGGTGACCCCCGGGGGTGGCACTGCCAGGGCAGGACCCTCAGCGGCCGCGGCAGCTCTGGGGGTCCCTGCCCTGTCACCGGGGGGTTTCGGGGTCCCCCTAACGCCGCGTGTCCCCCCGGCCAGGCGTGGAGGGAAGCCCATGGCCCCCGGACCCCCGGCCCGCCCCCGCGCCCAGCCCCGGCCCCGCAGCCCCTGACGGCCCCAGGACCCCCCCGGCCGGCCCCGGGGAGCCCCAGCAGGTACGGGGGGCGCGGGGGGCGTTTTGGGGTGCATTGGGAGAGTTTTGGGGTGCACTAGTACCGTTTTGGGGTGCACTGGAGGCGCTTTGGGGTGCACTGGGGTGTTTTTGGGTGCACTGGGGGAGTTTTGGGGTGCACTGGGGCGCTTTGGGGTGCACTGGGGGTGTTTTGGGATGCATTGAGGGTGTTTTGGGGTGCACTGGGGGTATTTTGGGGTGCACTGGGGGTATTTTGGGGCGCACTGGTGGCTTTATGGGGTGCACTGGGGGCGTTTTGGGGTGCACTAGT